TTTTTCCCCAAAGAAGCTGTAGAAACTGTTTCAAGGAGTTTAAACATTGCATTTGTTCTTGGGATACATTACAGCATTAAGACGAGTGTGGGCTTGATCTGATTCCTCATTGTAGATGAGTATTCCAGCATCTAAAGTCCTGTTAACTGGGTTACAGTAGCACAAGTGGATACTTTTTCATGGTGCTGATAAGACCAGTGGTAAAGGATTTAATGCTCTTGTTGTCCCCTTTGCTTGATTTTGGTCCTGGTCACACTCCAGCATGCAAAATCAGAACCAGTGTGGGCAGTTGTACCACCAGCAGAGGCTTAGAAGACAGTTCAGATCCAATTGTTTTCTTCTTAAAAAGGAGCAAAATTAATTGAGATTAGGACTCTTTGGCTCTAGTGGGCCTTGCAATTGCCAGGTATAATAGACTGGTATTAATTCTGCTTTGTAAAAACAGCCACAGCCCTTCATAAGGACTAGGCCTTGATCTGAGAATTTCACCTGGGTTGTCTCAGCTGTCAACCCAGTCTTTGCTGTTCACATCTCAGGTGAGTTGGTGTTCTGCTGCATCTCATTGCAAATAGGAGAGGCAGTCTGTTTATAAAGTTCCCATCTTATTTCCTATTTTGTTCCTACTTGTATTTGGTTCCCATATGGTAAGAGTTTACTTATATGCCACCAGTGGGAGAGAATATGCTGAATTAAATCCCATAGAATTAAACTGGATCCTAAATGGCCTAAGTAACATTCAGGTTTGTGAGCCCAGACACTAGCTATTGGATGTTCTCTCTATTAAGGACTTTTAGTACTTGGCTAAATAATCTGTGGATTTAGGAATAAGTGTTAGCATTTATAAGTTTGGTGTATAGAACTGCAGTTGGATATTAAAAGCATCATTAAATTTGCACCACACATTCTGGGTACACACTGGAATGCAAATCAAATCAGACCTGCCTAACAATCAAATTTTCGTAAACTAATCATGGAGACTCAACTACCTGCCCGCATACTCACCAGGTACCTTGACAGGTATCAACAAACCAGCACATCTCAGGTCCTGGGAGACTGGATGAATGAGAAAGGTGTCCTAAGCACCCTGTGTGTAAGGCTGTAACTAAGTGCAAACAGCCTGTGCTCTGACTTTAATGCTCAATCTAATGCAGAATGTTTTCTCATCCCCATTTGGTAAGATGTAAAACAGGCCCAGAAAAGTCAAGGGTAGTGAACTTAGGATTTTATGTTGTCTCCACATCTGCTCCGTGTAGATTCAATAATCAACCAGAAGCCAGGCTGAGTTGCTTTTGACAATTTCTAGTGCTTCATCCCCTGGTTCCTCAGGGTGGTCATTCTGGACTTATGTCTCACACAATCACCTCCTGGTGACCAGCTCCCTATGGGACAGCTAGAAACCTATGTGACACCTCGCTGACTCCTACACCCCATGTGAACTGTGCACATGTGCCAGTAAGCTGTCAGTCAAAATTCAACCCCACACAACTCAAGCCTGTTTGCTCTAAATCCACCAGTTAGAATTCCCTGTGAGAAGCTGCTTGGGTAACACTGGAACCCCGTGAAGGCTTCAGCCCACAGGCTCCTCACCGGCTCTTGTGATATGCACTGGTTGGCAGGGCATGTCCTGGACGGCTCCCCACTGCCTTCCGCTCTGCGAGGCATGCTACCCCTGTTTCCAGGATCTGTTGGTAATGCTGCTTCTCTATCCAGTGCTTTATTGAACAGTTCATTGCCTCTGTCTCTACTGACTGAGCCTAACTGCCCTCCGGATCAGCACTCTCCTTCCTAGAAGAACACCATCTCAGTAGTAAGCAGCAGGACACTGTCATGTGAGAGCCCGAGAACACAGGTCAGACAGGTATGCATGAGGTCATCCAGCAAGGGCACAGGAACCTATCTGTAGTCCCTACTACTACAGGCTGAGACAAGCTGATCACTTGAGCCCAGGAGTTCAAGGCCAGCCTGGGCAACATAGGAAAACCCCGTTCCCACCACACCCCCCAAAAAAAGCGTCCTGTGAAAGGCACACTGAAAACATCTGTGACCAAGACCTCTGGAGCTGGGTAGAGTTTATTGCCACTTCCATGAAAGAGACCCAAGACCAAATTAGAAAACAACCCAACATGTCATTTGCCCTAAGTCATAACAGTCCTGAGGAGGAGCAAGTACACACTAGGGACTTCACTCTCCACCATCACAGTAAGCCCCAGCCCCAGGGTCGGGAAACCACTTCCCAGAAAACTGCAGGATGGTTACTCCATCATTCTGCTTAGAAATAAACTAGGCACAGAGAATCAAGAGTCTAAAGCCAGCCTCTGCAACCCAGAGACATCAAAGTCAGTTTATTAGCTTGATATAGTTCGATCCATGGGAACATTTTAATTATAACACTTCTCATTACAACATAAATGTGACAAATTCAGTTCTCTTAAGACAAAGTCCAAGTGTATCTTACTCTGCCCCAGCTCACAGTTAAGTTTCTTCACACCTTAGTCATTTTAAAGGATGTGTTCAGTTAAAGACCAGAGAGGCCACACTTGAGCTCTCAGCTGGTTCCCTGGAGAGCCCAGGTGTTTTCTAATAGCTAGGGTATTGATCATTCCGATTCTCCAGGTACAGAACTTTTTTAATTTTTTTATTTCATTTTTATTTTTTATTTAAACATGTTAAAATTATTTTCATATATTAACATTTTCCACTGAATATATTTTAGATTATATAAAATAAATGTTGGAATCTTGAAATTATTTAAAGTAAAAAAAATCAAATGGTAAGTATTGGAAGGCAACCGTTTGGATGAGTCTTGTTTTGAGAGTGTACCTGTTCACTACTAAATGTACTTGTTCAGCCACTCGATTAAATTCCTTCTCGCCTCATCAATGTAAGGCTTGTCAGCAGGTAGACAATCTTCTTTCTTGCGATGCACAAAACCATGGGTTTGCCCAGAAAATGTTTTAATTTGATATTCAACCTTGCAGTGTTCTTTCAACTTCTGCGTCAGCAAAGAGACCTGGTATGCAAAACATTTTGGTGATGACGTGATTTTAACTTGTTAGCAACATTTTTCATTCTCTAAATCTTCAGAGAGTGTTCATAAAAGAGATTTTAACATCAATTCTTTAAATTGTAAATGGGTTCCACAGCTATTCTAAATTTTAACTATAATTTATAATTAACACAATTCTTGCTGCTGGCAAAAATTTTGGAGCAATATAAATATGATACAACAGCAATTACAGGCTTATATAGAATCATGTCCAAATAAACACATCATGAATTGAAAATGTGGGAGGCTAAGGGTAGAGTACGATGGTGAAGTATTTGCTTGGCTGTGCAATGCCTGGGTTCAATGTCCAGCATCAACCCCCCCCGCCCCGCCCCCGCCTCAAAAAAATGCATTGAGTACACCTGACCTGATGCCCAGCCTGTCTTAGCAACACAGGGCACACGGCACAGTGTTGCTCTTTCCCCCCTCTTGACTGCAGGGCTAACCGTCACTGTCTACCCTTACAGAGGATCATGCCACATATTGCATGATCAAAGAACAGGTTGTCATTTCACACCATCTTGAGTTGAAAATTCCTAAGGGAGACCACCATGAGTCAGGGACCATCTGCATCTAAAATCACTTGCATTAACATATCAGTTACTACTAATAATTGGCAAATGACGGCTTTTGAATCATACTTCTGCTTTTTCTTTATCAATTTACTGGATCTAACACATCCATCTTTAAGGTAAAATACCTTATGGTGACTCAAGGGTCACCATGGAGAGGTCAGAGGCAGGACCCATTTCTTTGTCCAATGACCAGGCCATCTGAGAACACTTGATGTCATGTTAAATAAGCATATTTAAGGAAGTTACAATTAATCCTACTCATGTGTGTGTGTGTGTGTGTGTGTGTGTGTGTGTGTGTTGGGGAGGGTGTACTGGAGATTGAACTCAGTAGCGCTCAACCACTGCGACACACCCCCAGTCCTTTTTTGTATTTTATTTAGAGTCAGGGTCTCATTGAGTTGCTTAGCTCCTCAAAGTTGCTGAGGCTGGCTTTGAACTCACAATCCTCCTGCCTTAGCCCTCCTTAGCCACTGGGATTTCAGGTGAGCATCACCACACCTGGCATAATTCTACTCTTTTTTTTGGGGGGGGGGTGTTAGGGATTGAACCCAGGGCCTTGTGCATGTGAGGCAAGCACTCTACCAACTGAGCTATATGCCCAGACCCACTACTCTTAATCTCTGGTAAAACTCACCTTTTAAAAATGTCTATGTTGGAAAACATCTGGAACAGCAGTTAATGAATGCTTTGAGACTTCTCCCTCAAAATGTCAAGACCTGCTCTTAAACACACAAGTGAGAAGAGGAAAGGTGCCAACTTACTTGCTCCAGGGGAATCACAGCATCATTTTCAGCAAAAATGAACAACGTGGGGTTCTTCAAACTGTAAACATCTTCAGAATCCTTGACGATGCCTGAAAGATGGGTTCAGGGGCATGACACTATGATTTCCACAGTCATGCCCCAGAAAACTGCCTCAATTTGGTTTGATTATTCAAAGTAAAAATGTACTTGGGGGGCTTTGTTTATTTTTTTGGCAGTTCCACGGTAGTGTAACAGGGGGACTCGTCCAGCCAGACCTGGCCCTCCAGCTCACTCACTAGAAGCGAAGCCATCAAGGTGTGGAATCAGGCCTTGCAGGCTGCTCCGTGAAGACGAAGAGGGTCTAACGAGTATCCCTCCTGGGATATTCTTGCACAGAAGTGAGAGCTGCCAAACCACTGTTCTGGAAGTTTCCCTCTGCCCACCCAAGTCCCACAGGTTCTGACTTCAATGCACTGGGTGTTTTGGAATGGGCCTTTACGCTCAGACAAGCCCACAGCCTGCGACTGCCTGGTCCTAGCAAGTCATTCTCTGAAAAATTAGTTTTCCTCCTTGACTCAGAAGGTTAGAGACTGATCAGTCAGAAGCATGCTCCGCCCAGCCCAGGGGTTCTAGACAACCCTCAGGAACGCCCACTTCTGTGGAGAAAGAAGTCAACCTAAGTTATCCTTTTAAAAGGGAAAAAAATAATCTTTTTCAACTTCGTGACAGCAGCACAGCAAAGCTATGTGGCTGGACAGCAGCTCAAAGTCCCCTGGACTCGCCCCCACCAGGCTCAGCAGCTCACGTACCTCACAGCAGCAGCCAGGAGGTGGCGCCAGTGAGGCGTCCACACAGGCACCTTCTGCTAATTCACACAAAGGCACCTTTGGGCCTAACAAGAGGTGGCCCGTGCTCTAGCCCAACTGGTCATTTACTGAGTCTGCTTTCTTTTGTACAAGTTAATATTTAAAGAGTTTTTTAAAATGCCAAATGTAGGTGAAAATACGACAGTGAGGAACCATTAAGCCAAATAAGAATCATTGGTACAGGTACTACTTCATGACACTCTGATGTAAAGAACTTGGTGACACACTAGTATAATTTGATGACTTACTAGTCAAATTTCCTTGTGTCTTTATATTTTTTTTCCAAAATGTTTT